GAGCCTGTCCCTGCCGCCATCCTAAACCCACAGCTCGCCCTACAACTTCCCAGCTGCAGGGCAGGGCAGAGGACCATTAAGTGAAATCAAACTGGCCACAACAATGGGTGATCCTGAGGGGTGAAGTGGCAGCACAGGGAGGTCTGCATTCTAAACAGTGAGGGATGAACAGGGATTATTTCCCTGGTGCTGAGCAGGCACATATGGTCCCCAGGTATTGTTCCAACTCTGGCTATGGGATGGCAGTTGGGCACCCCCTAAGTACAGCTGGCAGGGACAGGCAGGGACATCCCCAACCTGACTTCCTGCTCAGAGCAGGACATGACATCAGATCTGCTGTGGCTTTGTATTGCAAAACCTCATGCCTGGAGATCCCTGCCCTGGGCTGTGCAGAAATTCTTCCTACTGAGCATCCCTGGCCTGCCAAGCTGCAGCCAACAGCCCTCATCCCTCATAACATGCTCTGCTAGCAGCTCCAGGATGGACCTGTGGAGTGCTGCCCACAGCCAAGACTCCAGTTTGGCTCTGGAAGGCCTCTATCTCAGACACAAAGCAGCAGTGAAGTGTGGTGGCTGTAGCACTGGATTAATGACCTGCATCCACCTGCAGGTCATCCAGCCTTTGCCACTGAGGTCCCTTTTCTCCTCGGTACCTAAGACCCACCACAGCCCCCTGGAGGTCCTGGTGCTGCCCTTCTCCACAGAGGTGCTGGGACACAGCTGATGGGAGAGAGGCAGTACTGGAGGCATGCAGGACGTGTGGGTAAGGGAGGAAGAGAGCAGCCGTGCCTGGCCTTACCACCAGCCCTTGTTAGAGTGGTAGCAGATCCATCTTTCCTGGGTAGCACTGTCGCTTCTGCCTTTCCCATCAGAGCTCTGGATCCCAGGAGACACTCCCAGTTTGCAATAAGGCTTTGGTGGGTGTAGGTGCTCAATCAGGGTACCGCAGTGACTTCAGCTGAGTTGTGATCTCAAGGCCTGCTTGTAGCCATACCGGGAGGGATTCTCAAGGCATCAAAAAGGAACACCACCTGCACCCTAAGAGGTGGAGGGTTCCTCCAGCAGGAAACTCTCCAAGTTGGGTTCATATCTCCAGTTTTACAGCCATTTTGGTCAAACAGAGGAACCAAGCATTTTGTGGAAACAGGTTCTAGCAGGGGAAAGGTCCTGCAGCAGTGGTTCACAACTCTGCTCAGGACATTCCCTGGCTCCAGTGCAGCACCACAGGGCACCAGGGTGCATCCCCTCCTCCTAACAGTCTCAGAGAAAGAGAGGCAGGGTTTGGCCTCTGTCTCCTCTAGTTACTAGACACAGGGAGGATGAGAAGTGTGAAAACCCCGTGAGGCAGCGCTGCAGGAGCCACCATCTCTCTTCTGCTCTCAGAGGACTGAGGCTGCGAGAGATTAAAAAGCCAGAGCCTTTTTGCAGCAGCCTGGCAAAAGAGGTGCCTGTGCAGCACACCATTAACAGGGGAAGTGACACCCAGTGGTCTTCTTGCACACCTGCCCCTTGGGCTTTCTCCGTCTCATCTGCCAGATGGGATGAGGCCTTGAGTCACCACAGGGCACCTAGTCCAGCCCTGCTTCTGCTCCACACCCCACCCAGCCTGTCACGGCTTGCCAGGGGCCCCAGGCAATGTGACAGCTGATTTCCACCAGCTTCCTCCAAGGGCCTTTTAAAATTCCCCACAATCTCTGCCTGGCAGGACTCCAGGTCTTTCCAGGCTCGCTTCTGTCCTTTATTGCTTTACCTACAAGGACTCGGATCAGGCTTGTGTAGCATGGGCCAGTCTGCCAACACAGGCAGCACACAGGTGATGCAGTGGTGGCATCACCCCTACAGAGGCACATCCTGCCCCATCAGCTCTAGGAGATGATATATATACTTTTTGAAGGTGTTTTCACATTGCGAAACCTGCCCACACCAACAAAATGAGCGTGTGCATGGGGACGTCACCCTTAAGTGATCAAAACCATTAAACTAAATTAAAACTGCGGCAGGAGCCTTGCTGCTGTCAGCTCCTCAGGTTCCTGACAGCCTTTTCGGTGGGAGCAGCCAGCCTGGCAAACAGGCTGAGCAGCCCCAGCCTGCAGCTGGAGGGTTGGGGCGGCGCTGGCAGCTCCAGGAGGGAGCTAACCCAGGGATGAACTCACCAGCACCCAGTCACCTCACCAGTGCACCCTTCAAAGGGAAGCCCCGCGGGCAGCAGAGCTCATGACGGAAGGACGTCATTCCACTGCTCACTGCCTGGGACACCTCATCTTCCTGGGGAAACACCCTCCTCCCAGCCCTCCCGGCAAGCAAGCCCCTGGAAGGTGGCCAGCCATGGTGCAGAGCCATGCCTAATGTGCTTAAACCTCCATGTTTGCCTTCACCAACCCTTGCAAAGCCCTTGGCAAGTCCTCAGGGTGTGCAAGGAGTAGGAATAGCCTGCTTCTGGCAAGCCCTAAGGTAGGCTACCCTATGCAACGTACCAGTATGGCTTGTGTGGTAAATTCCTGCAGTCCCAAAGCCCTCCAAGCCTCTGGAAGTTTTTTCCAGATGCTCTCTGAACAACTACAGTCTTCTGCCCGTGTTACTTTTCCTGTCAAATGGCAAGAGCTGAGGTTCTGCCCTGGGAAGAGGGGAGAGAATTGGGAACACCCTCACCCCATCAGACTGTTAAAAGGAACTTCTGTGTCCCACTCCTTAATCCTGTTTCTGGAATGAGAAGATGTTTTAAAAATCAGGGGAGGTTGCTAAGGGACAGTGTGCTCAGCAGGGACATCCCTCACAAACCCTCGGCACTCAAAAGCAGGAGGTAAATAACTTGGGGTATTATTAATCCTTTGCTTCCCACACAATAAACAGAAATGTATTATTCTTGTCAAGGACAAAAGAGCCCATATTTCCCCACAGCCGAGGAGCTGAACCAGCAAATTTTTTGGTTTCGGCTCCACGGTGGGTTCAGCTGTGACTGAAGTTGTTCCAGCTCAGTTCCTGTTCAGGCCAATAAAGGTTCATTAACCATTTGTTAACCCCGAACTCATTTCAGCCAGTTCTTGCTGGAAAACACAGGCTGTGAAAGCAGTTGTGTGATGGGGACTGAGCCATTTTGTGTCCATCTCTGTTTTCTGTGGCCTCTGTTCCTGTCCTAATTTGACACCAGAGCTTCTTGCCTGCTCAGAAGAGATGGCACACAGGGTCAAAGGGCAGAAAAACTAAATTTTGCACCGGCAGTCTGTAGGGAACCCTCACTGTGAGGAACAAGCAGGGGCTTGGGGAAACTGAGCTTCCTGAGCTCTTCCTGAGACAAGCACCTGCACATGTGTGGTTTGAGGCAGTGGCTCCTAAACCACCGGGAGCACTGGAGTGTCTCATGTTCCTGTCAATAAACACAGAAATTAAAATATTCTATACATTAACTACTCTTTCATGGCCCACAAGCTGAACTTAGGGACAGCAGGGGTTATTTAGCAAGAAATCTCCTACAGCCGCAGGCTGAGGCCCCAGGAGGAGATGAGGTCCTGTGCTGGCAGCTGCTCCATGGCCACATAGCAGCTCACTGAGCTGCCACTTCTCCCTGCAGAGAGGCACGTGCAGGACAGGGCTGTGAAAGGACTGGCCGTCCTGCTGTTCCCCTGCTCCTGGCTATTCCCAGACAGCACCGACGCAGCTTTATCCATGACGGCACCTCCGAAAATAATGCCCTGGGATCAGCAGAGAGGCGAGGGGGGCATGGGGATTCAGCAGCCAGTGTGCTGCCGGTTCACATCCAGCTCGCTGCACGCTAGCACAGTCAGAAGACGAGATCTTGGTTATATTTATCATTTGACGGTGCTGGTCCCCACTATTTTTAGAGCGGTGTTGCAGCTGCAGCTTGCTGAGGAGTGAGGTGAGTCGGCTGGGGGACTGGTCTTTACCGAGTTTCACCCAAAATTCCTGAAGTCAAGGCAACTCTTCCCTGACCTGAATGGCCTGAGGTCAGGCTGTTGAGCTGTGGGCTGCTGCTTCTCGGGGTACTGGGTCCTGCCAGGGTCCCTGAGGCAGAGCCCCATTTTCTCATGGCTGCGGATGTTCCTGAGCAGCCATATACCAGGGGGGCAGCTGCTCCCACAGGTCAGGCACCCACGGTGAGCTTTGGCACAGCCTGGCACTGCTGGTTCCCAGCCTGGCTGTATGCAGGGGGGCACTGGCACCACCTGGGTGGTGGGGGACACCCAGGTAGTCCCACTCAGGCCATGTCTGTGGTGCAAGGGTCACCCCGTGGGTCTCACCTAGGGGAGGCTGTGCCCTTGGGACCAGGAGACGGTTGTGTCTGTGGGGCTGGGATGCGTCGCATGTGTAGGGCTGGGGGAAGGGTGATTGTGGGGTGGGGACACACTGTGCCCGTGCGTGTGTCCATGGGGTGCGACATGCCATGCTTGTGGGATGGGGAGTTCCTGTGGATGTGGGGGCTGCCCGTGGGGTGGACACATGCTGTGCCCAAGGGGCGTGTGGGGGATCGTGCCTCTGGGGTGGAACACGGCGCGCTTGTGAGGCTGGAGGGGGTGCCCGTGGAACCGTGATGCGCCGTGCCCCTGGCTGTGTCCGTGGGGTGGGACACGTCATGTCGTGGGGATGAGGGGTGCTCGTGGAGCCGGGATACGGTGTGCCCTTGGGTGTGTCCGTGGGGTGGCACACGCCGTGCCCATTGGTACGGAGGTGCTCGTGGGTCTGGGACAGGCCGTGCCCTCGGATCGGGTCGCGTCGGGGATCCCGGGTCCTCTCGGGGGTCGAGGGGCGCAGCCCCGCCCATGACCGGGCCAGGCTCCGCCCCCGCTCGCGCCGCTGACCAATGAGAAGCCGTCTGTCCCGGCCCCGCCCCTTCCCCGCTGTCATCACACACCCGCACGTGGAGGGGGCGTGGAGGGGGCGGGCCCTCGGCGCGGTCCGTCACCGCCGATCCGCCCGCCCATTGGCCGCGCTGCGCCGCCGCTCGCCCCGCCCCGCACCCTGCCCCGCCCAGCGCACCAATCAGCGCGCGGGGGGCGGGCGCGGTGGGAGTGTCCCCGGCGGCACCCGGAAGGAGCGCAGGGAGCCGTGCACAGTCGGGGCCGCGGCGGCGGCAGAGGAGGCGGAGGGGGCGCTGGTGGGTCCGGCGGGGCCGCGGCGGGCAGGGCCGGGGGGCGCAGGGGACGGCCGGGCACCGCCGGGGATGGGCCGCCCCCGCGCCGTGCGGGAGGGTTCGTGCGCCCCGGCCCCGCCGCCCTCTTCCCGGTTCCGGAAGGTTCGGGGGTGCCGTTGGGACCGGGGGCCCTGAACGGCAGGGGCGAGCGGGAGCGGGAGGAGGCGCGGCCGGGAGGGGCCATGACCGGGCAGTATCGGGAGGCCGTGACCGGGATGGGGAGCTGTGATCTGGAGGGGTCATGACCGGGATGGGGAGCTGGGACCTGGGGGGGCCGTGACCGGGATGCGGGATGTAGCCGGGAGCGCTGTCACCGGCGAGGGGCCTGGCACCGGGGGAAGCTGTGGCAGGAGGTGCCGGGGCCGGGGGTGTGACAGCAGAGCTTTGGACGCGGGGTGGGGGTTGTTGTCTGGGGGTGGGGGGTGTTTGTGCTGTGTCTGTCAGAGGTGGGTATGGGGGGAGGCGGGAGGGACCGGAGGGGGGTGCAGGCTGTGCTGGGGGGTGTCCCTCGTCCTGGCTGACAGCCCTCGGCAGCTCAGGGAGGCTGCGCTGCCCCCTGAAATCGCCCACCAAAAGGCCACGTCCTCCGCGCTGTGACAGGGGCATGGGACAGCCTGACTGCGGCTCTGCCTGCACCGTGGGGCCTCGTCGTTCTCCTCCTCCTCTTCCTCCCCCGGGCATCAGCCCAAACCCAGCAGGGACTGGGTGGGTTGTTGTCCCTCAGGGCGGTGGGGTCGTGTTTCCCTGGGGGAGGGGAAGGCGCAGCTGGGGCGGCCCCTGCCCCGGGGGTCCCTGCCGGCCCCCGGCCGGGGGTGCGGGGTGGGCGGATGTGAACCCCGGCATCCGCCGCCCTCTGGTGACAGCCAGCCGCGGGCGGAAGGGCCCGGCGGGGACAGTCACCCACCCTAAATCGGCGGTTGCCGAGCTGGCGAGGCTTTCAGGCTGGTTTTATGCTGGAACCGCACGGGCAGCGTGCGCTCGGCCCTCCCGAGTGTCACGTTTGGGAAGGAGCCGTGTGCCAGGGAAGGCACAGGGAATCGCTGCGTGGTGGGACCTGGGGAGGTGGGCTTGCTCACAACCCACTCTGTGAACATGATCCATCAGTTACCCTTTTTTTTTTTTTTTTTTTTTTTTTTTTAAGGAAGGTGTGTGGTATTTGCAGATGCCGGGGAAAGGGTACGGTAGAGGAATGCTGTGCTGTATTTAGGAGTATTTTAAAAATCCCTTCCAATCTCAGTGCCTTTTTAAAAACCTCAGACAAGCGAAGATTCGCTTGCAGACCTTTCCTCTCCCTGAATCAAGTCTCTCAGCCTTGGCAAAGAGGGGAAGTTGGGAAGTTGTGGAGAGCGTAGCAGGCTTGAACCCTGACACAAAGGAGTGTCTTGGCGAACTTGGTAACACACGAGGAGGTGAACAAGGTCTGGCAGGTGGAACAGGAGAAAACTCCCAGAGTGATAGCGCTAGAGCTGCTTTCGGCAGGGCCGGGCTTTAGGATGAGAACGGGGAGAATGAAGTCATGCTGTAAAGCCTCGTCATCGCCCTGTTTTCACAGCAGCAATTCCCACCGTGCGGGTCTCGGCGGGGCCCTGGAAAGGACTACATGTCCCAGCATGCAGCTCCCTGTGCTGAGGGCAGGGCACTGGCGGGAGCTGGGAGGGCCGGGAGGTTCGTACAGGGCTTGAATCCGAGGGACACTGTTGCCACGGGGTTTGTTGCAGAGGACACGGCACCTGCCTTCGCCTCACCTGCAGCCGCTGCCCCCATAACGCCTCGCTGGATTCCTGCTGGCTCTCGTGGGGCCTGGACACGTCCCTTCCCCTGGAGCCTGGGCTGGTCAGGATGTGTGGGGACAGCTGAGTCCTGCTGTCACCACAGGTGAAGGGCTGTGGTCCTTGGGGAGCTGGGCTTGTGTACCAAGGTCCAGCTGCAACTGGGGCAGGGCTGAGGCTGTTTCAGCTCTGCCACTCGCCTGCCTTGTTTTTGTGTTCTGTGTGAGAGGTTTCTTATCCCCTGACAGAAGGAAAGCTGGTGGGGCCACTTGACGTTTTTGGGAACCCTGCTATTGGAGGCACAGCTTGCTGAGGGACTCTTCTGCTTCCTTGCCTTTGCAGCAAGCTGAGCAGAGCAGCTCTAGAGGCTCCATTCTTCATGTCTGCCCTCTGCAGAAATGGCCTTTAGGGAATTACAGATAATTTTAATATTACTTGTCTTTCACTCCTTGTGGGTTCCTCCAAAGCTGCTGAAGCCCCCAGTCTGTACATCCTCCCTCAGCTGGTGGTGCTGAGCTTTCCCAGCCCCTCTTCCCTCAGCTGTTTCAGGTCTTCTGAGCATGTGGAACAGGAGCAGGAAGGGAGGTTCCCTCCCTGAGTTCAAGGGACTTTTGAGGGTAGAGAAGAACATCTGTGCCTCTGGTCTTCCTCCTTGCTGTCTGCTGCCAACTGCTTGCCCTGGCACATTTCTGCAGGGCTGTGCTGAGTAACAGAGGCCAGAGATACCTGGACTTTGCTCACTGCCTCTGAGGCTGATTCAAGGGGATAGTTATTGATCTGACTCTTCAAAGTTGATGACTCTTTCTGAGTCCTTTACCTGCCCTTACTGCTCTGGGCCTGCCCACATTTGTCCTCTGCTGGATTTGGTTGGCACCATTGTGTGCTGTGTGGAAATGCACCATGCCTGGGGGCCAGAACGCTTCCTGGATGCAGAATAAGAAAACCTGTTGTTAGTAGGTTGGACCACAGATGTGAAAGGAGAAAGTGAAGACGTATAGCTAGAAAAGTGGTGTCCTCAGCACACTGTCAATGGAGCTGTAATCAAATTATCAGAGGCTTTGGTAGCTGGAAGAATTAATGAGACGGGTTTGAAGCAGGACAGGTGTGAAGGGCAGCATGGGAGAGATCCTGAAAGGAGACATTTGTATGTCAACAGATGGCTGGGTTACTTGCAGGTCACTTAGTGAGGTTGTTGCACGTTACTTAATGAGAGTCTTATGTGAGAGGGTTTTGCCTGATGCCTCTCCATCTTGCATCACTCTCAGGGACCCCCTTCCTCCAGCAGGCTGTGTGGGTCCCTGTGTCCTGGTAGCACCATGTTATCATGTTTCTGATTCTTCCTTCTGTCTGCAGCACCTGGCACCTCTGCTCACTGACCAGCTCTCTTCCTTTGTTTTTAGATTTTGCTTTTGCTCATGAGCTGGTGAAGCAGGCGAATATAACCTCTGGAGAATTTGGTCTCACAAAGTTTGAGGCCTGCTTTAAAAATTATTTTCTCTGACTGGGAAGTTTCTCTGCAAGTTTTCATCCTCACTTTGGCCTTACTCCTGTCTTTCACAGTCTCCCTTGCTTGGCCTGTGAATGCCCAGCTGCCAATTAACATGTTTTCCCTCTGTTTCCATCTGCATCTTCAGCTGGTTGTGAATCCTGAATGAAGAGCAGCTGAGCTCACATGCTCTGCATTTCAGAGAGCTTTTTCAGGACTGGCCAGTGGTTTGCAGTCATACTTGCCTGTACTGTGGCCTGGACAACCCCCCAGCTAAGCAGCGTGATGGTAGAACAATACTTGAATGGGAAACCTTCAAAGGAGTCCTGTGTGCTGCAAAGGGGGAAGTTAGTGATTCAGCTGGAATTGCTTTTTAGTAACAAATCCATGTCCTGGGCCAGGGCTGATGTCAACCCTGTGATTCTTCTTGTTGGAAGTGAACAAAGATGCAAAGCCCTTTATGCAAGAGCTGAGGTGATAATCCAGATCTCCTGGCCTCAGTCCATTTGGGGTAATTGCATTCTTCCTGGGGAGTGTTTTCAACCCATCCCTGTCAGATACATTGCCATCGCTTCCTGTGCTGCAGCATTATGTGGGTGGCAGTACTTCAGCCATGTCCAAAGCAATTCTTGTCACTGCTCAGGCTTAGAGCATTTCTAGCCTTCTCTGAAAGAGAGTGTGCTAGGGCAGAGAGTTGGTGGAGGGTTTCAAATATATGAATATTTACATATATGCAAGCTACACTTACTGAGGCTTGCTCTGTTTATAAGCTGTCCGAAAAGATAGCCCCTGTGACTGGCTAGTGCAGCTTCCAGATGAAACATCTCCTGGGATGCTGGTGCAGGCGGCATTAAGCACAAACTTTCTAGATACCTTCATGAGTTTTTTAAGGGCTGGTGCCCCAGTAAGTGTGGCAGTGCCTCCCTGTATCGGGATGTGCTCCTGGAGCACTGCCAGCCTGGCTGCCCACAGCGCTCCGCTCTGGTCGGAGCTGGGCTGTGCTGCTGGGGGTGTGACAGGGTGGTTGCCTGTGCAGGAGGCCAAGCTGGGGAGCAGGGACTGCCCCTAAGCAGCTTTTGCTCATCATACCTGAGGCCAGGGGAATGTCAGACCTGATCTTGGGGAGGTCGGTATCGTCCTGGTTTTCAGGACCTGCTAGGCATGAGGACTTAGCCCCTACAGAGTGCGATCTCCAGTGGTCTGTAATTACAGCACTGGAAGCCGGGGGAGGAGACTTAAACAACATCTTTGTGATGGTGTTGGCAGGCCTCTCGGAGATTTCTATTAGGCAATTGTCGTTTTCCCCCTTCGCTGTAGCCTGGGAAACGCTGCGAGGTTGGATTTGTCTTGGTCTGTTTGGGTTGCTGGGAGGGGTGTCTCTCCAGCAGTGGAGTTTGTCCCTCCCTGCCCTGGCTCCACGTCCCCATGAGGTGGCTCAGCGGGTGGCCTGTGGGGACCACAGCCAGCGCCTGCTCCTGCAGATAAACCATATGCCAGCTCACCCACTCGGGTACCAGCACAGCCCGTGTGGTGGAGCAACCTACGGTTGCGTGGGTGGAGAGGAACAAAGCCAAGGGCACACAGAAGCCTGTACTTCCCACTGAAATCTGGGGAAGGGGGATGGTGGCTGTGACCTTAGAAGCCCTCTCTGGAGAACCAACTTTACAGGGAACTGGGGGGATAGTTGGATCCCAGGAGGGAGTCAGGGCTGCAGCTGGAAGGATGGCCTCTGGTTAAAGATATGGCAGAGTCTTTGAGCTGGTGGAGTGCTTGGGGTCTCTCACTTCGGTGCATCGGCCATGAACTCACTTGGCTCAGATGAGCAATTACTGCCTGCCCAGTGTTCCTGCGTGGGCAGGGTATTCCCCAGCTGAGCTGAACCTGTGTCTGTTCACTTGTCTTTCCAGGTGACCCAAGACAGCTGGAACAAGAAACCCCAAGACCACACTGCAGGTGCTGACAGCTGAGAGCTGCCTTCTCTGTCTGCTTCAGCTCTACACCAAGGTTAGCACCGTTCAGTCACCACCGACTTCCCTCCCCTCACCAGGGCTGAAGCAGGGAACCCCATGCCCTCCTCCCCTTGGCTCACTGGGATAACTGTAGTGTAGGTGTCAGCCTGGTGAGGTGCTCCCACAACCAAAGCTTGCTGGGTACTCCTGCCTCCCACCTGGCTGCCAGTGTGGCAAAGAGAACCTGGATGTGTGTGACCAGTGCTGCTAAGACTGTTGAACCCTGCACACGGTTGTCAGGAGCTCAAGGGTGGTGTGTTCTAAACCCCTGGGAACTGGCAGTCTGTGCTGTTTGCTGCACTTGTCCTTCTGCGTGCCAGCAGGATTGAATGTGAGCATTTTCCAGCTGCTGTTCTCTACTGTCCTTCACCTGAACCCAGCTGAGACTTCACCCAGAGCTTGTGGCAGACATAATCGTGGTCTCTATTAGAAGCAGTTGAGCTCTGCCTGCATTTTCCCAGGATTTTTTAGCTTGGCCTTGGTGTATGAGGCTTAGAGTGATAGTAGTCTTTGTGTTGCCAGTGGCAAGAGACGTTACCTGCTCTGAGGTAACCAGCCTGGAATGGCTCTGGGCTTTGTGCCTGCCTTGGATCCAGCAGTGCTTGCCCCACCTGCACAGTGTACTCTCACCTGGAAGATCTCTCCTCATCAGCACTGTGCCTCCAACAGGTCAGGCTGAGCCCTTCTCTCGCCCTGGAGCTCAGGTGTGATTTGGCCAGGAGGGATTATATGGGGAAGCAGTAGTTTAGGATGCATGGCTGCCCAGGATCATCTGCTCTTCCTCTGAAGTGTCTGCCAGGGAACCTGGGCCCTGTCCAGAGACAGCTGGAAACTGGGCCTGAGGCCATCTCACCCTTCAGCCTGATGCTGAAGGGGTACCCACAGCGAGTGAGGCAGGGATAGATTTACCTGTGAAGCTTAAAGGAAGGAAGGAAGAAGTCCTTTGCTCATGTCAGTGCTCTGTGCTACAGATTCCTGATCGCACAATGCAGTGACAGTCCCTTTATCCAGCTGGGTTGTGGCAATAACTGATGCCTGCTCCGTGATGGGAGGACTCTGTATCTCTCATAGTGACGGAAAAGAGACATGTTATGTGGCAAAGACCAGAGAAAAGGTTTGCACTGAGTTCTGCTGGAGCTGCTTGAAGATCCCAGTCCACCAAGTTTGCAGCACCCTGTCAGGGTTCCCCTGCCTTTTGACAAGGGGCATTTTAACACAGGGCTCACCACAGAATCACAGAAAGGCTTAGGTTGGAAGGGACATGAAATTTCACTGTGTTCCAACCCCCCACAATGGGCAGAGACACTTTCCCCTAGACCAGGTTGCTCAGGGCCCCATCCAACCTGGCCTTGAGGACTTCTGGGGATGGCGCATCCACAGCTTCTCTGAGCAGCCTGTCCAGTGTTTCACCACCCTCTGGGCTAATGTTAGACACACTTTTCTCCCATCCACCCTTGCTGACCAACTAGCTTGATATCTTCATGGACAGCGAATCTCCCATATATGTGTAGAGCAGCAGCTGCTCCTGTTACTTGCCCATATCATGAATCTCTTCTCTGGTCTTTATACTGTTTTATGTATTTATATTTATATTACCCAGGTGATATCAGTGAATTTATATTTGAGCTGAATTAATGGTGTTAGTTTAATTTCGTGCAGCTGGCAGTAATCTGGAAGCCATTAAAGCTTGCAGACCCTTGGACAGACTCACAGGGCCTCTCTTGGGAATGGGATGGAATGCTTTGCTGGGAAACTCAAAGACTGGGCAAAGTGGAGGTTATATCTTCAACAGAAAGCAGTCAGCCTAACATCCTTCAGCCTGCTCTTTTGTATGTGTGGGCTGCCATTGCCCCTTGGTCTCACCAACTGATTTAGGAGTAGGTCATCTTTCCACTGAAAATCAGAAGAAAATGCTGCCCCCTCCTTCAGAGGTGGAGCTCTGGGTTCCTTGTGAGTGTTGGACTGGCATTATGCAAGGAATCCCCTTTTTGCCTTACCATCTCTGTTGCAAGTAGGTTGGGCATTCAAAGATCCTGTTCATGGGAGCGTTGGGACAGCTGGATCCTTGTTTGGTTCTTGCTGCTCCCAAGAATGGAGCAGAGGATCATCTGCTGAGGCTATTTTAGGTTCCTGAGCTTTGCCAGTGCCCCTCTGAGCTCCTATTTGTGTGTGATCCTGCAGCTCCCTGCTAAGACCTGTGTGAGAGTCCTGTATCCTCATGTGAGAAGGTTTTGCTGGGGCATAGTGTCCCAGGGGCTAGGAAGAAATTTGAATTCCTCACTTACCTAAAACATCTCAGCCATATCAGTTTTATCTGTGCCCCCTTTCTTTAGCTTGAGCTCAAAACACCCTTTAGACTTTGCGGGTGCCCTTGTGTTGCCTGCTGGGAAGAAGGCTGCAGCTTTCCAACTTTTTCCTGCCAAAAATGCAACATCTTTCCTGTTCGCAGCAGCTGATTCCTGTTGTCTTGGATGGGAGCATCCGTTGCAGAAAACAGTATTCCATGAAACCTCTAGGTGTGGAAATACCCCAAAGCTCACAGCGGAGTGAGATGGGAGCCTGGGTCTGGCCATCTCTGTATGGCTGGATGGCTCCTTGCCATCTGGCACTGCCATCTCCCAGCCCAGCACAGCACAGGGTGAGGCCTCCCGGCCTCTCCCTTCTCAGTACACCCAAGATTTTGGCCTCTCTGCACTTTTTGGTTTCCACCTGCTCAGGTGATTTTTCAGCAGCACTGAGCATTGCTAAGTTTCGTGTTAAGGCAAGATGTGGCTATGCAGTTTTGGCCCATCTTTATTTTTAGCTGTGCAAGACATGGTTGATGGTATCAGAAGGAAGTTGCACGGCCTCCGGAGCTCCATGACTCATCCTGGATCAGGACCGAGGCTTTGCTAGCTTCTGCTATAACTCTCAAGTGATATAACTGGTTGTGGTGGGCCATACTAAATCTGGGAAGGGGCAGAATGGGGAGGGGAGCAGAGCTTTTAGAAGCTTTTTTTTTTTTCTTTTCTTGCCTAGGAAGTTGTTAAATTCATTTGTTCAAAGATACTGGCAGGTATCACACCTGAGTGTGGTTCAGCAGGGTCCTTTGTCTTCCCCTTGCATCTTGTGAGAGAGAGATGAAAGGGAGAGGAGCTCTACTTGCCCACTGGGTTGCAAAACTGTTTAGTGGCACATCACAGCAGTGGAGGAGAGTTTCTAGGACAGGAAACAAAGTGGGATCCTTTCTCTCATTCAAACCACAGTAAGTTTGGTGCAGCAGAGCAGACCTACCTGAAGTGGCTGGAGCTGAAGATCAGAGACTTAGGAGATGCCCGCCAGGATGCAGTGAGAAAAGTCTGGGACCACCATTCCCATCAATCCTGGCACTGCTGCAACGTAGGAAGAGCTCATGGAGCTTTCTGACCTGTGGGCAGCAATGTTGGGCTGGGCTGGGCTGGGCTGGGCTGGGCAGGAGGTGCATGTCACCACCATGGAGCAGGCACTGTGGGACAGGTGAGTATCCTTACCTGCTACAGCATGACAAGGGGTGCAGCTAGAGGGACCTCTATTCCCCAAGTCTGGCAGCCTGTGTTGCCACCTTGAGACTGGGCAAGGTGAGATGTGATGCACCTGGGTCCAGAGTAGGCTCCTTGCCCATGAAGTGGGTGGGGATGATGGTTTGTGGGAGTGGGCTTCCACCTCTGCTCCCTTTCCTTCCCTGGGGTGATGAACAGCCCTTTAAGAGTATATTTAAATTTGGGGTGTTTTGCAGCAGGTTTTATTTGTGGGGCAGCGGGGAGAAGACAGCAAGGCTTGGGGGAACAGAGGTGAGTGGGACGAGGGGAATGCTGGAGGGTATTGCTGGAGGGTATTGCTATGGCAACTTGCCACTGGCAGCATCACTGGCGTGGCAGAAGAGCAACCAGAGCAAATGTGCAAGCAGCCACAGCCCTCAATGCAGCCCTGTCCCAGCTGTGGCATGGGCTCAGCACCGCTGGGCTCCTGCCTGACAATCTGTCATCCTGAGCAATTCTCCTCAGGCAGCCACCTCAGGGTGGGTAGCCAGGGGTCTTTTGTCCATCTTCTCCCCTGTTGCACCCCTCACAGGTATGGACAGGCAGCTCCTGTTTGCAGACCTGTTCTGTTTGAAGTCTTGAGCTACAGAGCAGGCCCTCTCACTCTACCAATCTCTTGAGCCCTGTCACTGTACCATGGAGGAAAGCGAGTCATTCTGCTGCCCTTGCTTATCCTCAGTTAATCAGTGGAAGTGGCTCCAGTCATGCCTTCACCTTCCCAGGATGCTGGTCCTGTACCGTACTGTGCACCTTGCAAAGCCGGTTTGCCTTACTCCAGGGTTTCTGTACTCTGAGACCAGACTCTCTCATGTGCCCTCTGATATGGTCTGAGAACATTCTCTGGGACAGGTAAAGGAGAGGTTAAACATTTTTGAAGCTGCCTTTGCACAGGCACAGTTACTGGTAGAGAGCTGGCTCCTGTTGCTGAAGGGAGTTGGGAATGCTGTATGCTCACTGCACAGAGAGAATAGCTCAGGAAGCAAATCTCCAGCCTGGCCATAATGTGAGTGTGACTGAGACCTGACCTGTCATCCATGATATACCTAGAGGCATGGATTTGTGCCAGGGGAAGGGACCTGCTGGCAGCAAGCACAATTTGTCTGTGTCAGTGTGGATGGCTGTGTGAGCTGTAAAACCTCTCTTGTTACACCTCTCAAAGGTCACTGCTTGCAGTGAGCTACAGCACCCTGCCCACAGCTCTGCACCCAGCCCAGAGAGAGGAGAACAATGCTCTCAGAGAATGCTCTGGGGTCAGATGTCTGGGCTTGCCATGAAGTGGCCAGAGTTTGTCTGGGACGAGGATGTTCAGGCAAAAATGGACAGGAAAGGATGCCTGTCTGTGAGCTACCCAAATGGCCCTGCACTCAAAAATGTCACAATACTTGCCTGAGCTGTGACCCCTCCATCCAACTCTGAATCAGTATACAAGGTGTCAGAC